TTAAATCCACAATTATTACTGGATTTAAATTAGGCAACTTTGAAGCAACCTACATGTGGTTCAGTATTTATAATCCGACGTTATTCATCACTCAATTTAACTTGAAATTTAGAAGCGAAGAAAACTTGCTTTACTTTGCTTCTCTCAATTTAACTTGATTCAACCAAATTAAACAATTTTTACTTCCCAGTTCACATAAAAAAATTAGTGCCTTAAGGTGCTTGTACACGGGGATAATACTAGCGGCTATTAGATCAGAAAATTGCCAAATGTCTGCTGCTTGGTGTCTATCACGCAAGGAAGCTTAGACACCAAGCGGCAAACATTTGGCAATTTTCTGATCTACTAGCCGCTAGTACTATCCCCGTGTACAAGCACCTTAACAGACTAAAAAATATTCATCTGCTTATCCTAGGCAATCTGTTGAGCAGTAAAATGTGGTAAAGGGAACAGTTAAAATTCAAGCTTGATTCAAGCTTGAAAATTCAAGATTGATTCTCAAGCTTGTGTCATAAATCAATCCTGTGGTCGAGTGCTGAGAACACATGAAGCATGAGGTGGAAACATTCCTGAGAACGTTTAATGATAGGGAGACTACGTTCAATATTAATAGAACGTTATACGTTGCTAACTATTTATCGTTCATGTTTGCCATGATCGCAGTAGTATGAAAGACGAAGATAATTGAGAAATTTTAACTATAAATATACAGTATATAGGACAAATTGGACACTTATGTTGAGTTACGTATATCAACATGGTCACCTGGTCTGGGGCTCCCCGGACCTGATATGAAATTTTTTCAAGTAAATTGACAAAAATCCGAAAAAATGTTTTATGTTTTCCGGACGTTTCAAAACATTCTCTATCGAGTAAAATCTTAAATCGAGCGAAAAATGCATGTTTCTGTGACCCGTATTCAAGAATACGGGTCCGAAGTCACTCGGACTGATATGAAAAATTTCCAGGTAAATTGAAAAAAAATTCGATAGAGTTGTTTTATATTTTCTTGACGTTTAAGAACATTCTCCATCGAATAGTTCGAGCGAAAAAGGCACTTTCGTTAGACCCTCATGTGCTGGCGGAACAAAAATTTTCAAATCATCTCTGTAGTATTGATATGTAAAATTTCAAGTTTTCTTGACGTTTCAGATGATTTGCAGCCTTTTATTTTGTGCGAACCTGATCCGGCGGACCGGACCGGGTCCGGGTTTTAGTCAGTACTCTGTACTGAAATTGCTCTCTGCTGGGCACTTGTTGCACCGGGATTCATCAACAGATCATCAGTAGGTGATTTGCACGGGTTCGATCATAGCAGTGTCACAAGCCAGTCCTGATGTGCTTGCGGAGATTGTATAAGCGTGGCATTTAAAATTTAGCAGTCTATTGCATTGGATATATCGATGGCAAGAATTGGCGGGACGTCTGAAATGTGGATTGTGGACTGGCCGGACACAGTTGATCCAGTAGGCAGTGGCAGAGCCCAACCGTTGATATAATTAAACTATGTGGCGTACCATCTAATTTAATTAGATTTGTATCAGCCCAGTTTCGGCGATCGAATGTATTGTTAGTGATAGTGAAAAATTGGTACATCTTGACCTTGTAATACTTGTATTTGTAGGAAGAACTAAGAAGCTTTGCAGTTTGCACTATGTGCACTGGCTGCCGTCACTGTGGGGACACTGCCGCCACTACAATGGCAATGGCTACCGCAGGGCGCAGGTCGTGGCCGGAACACTAGTTGGGTGAACTGTGCGGTCTGTGCCTCATGTCAGTCATGAAGCACTTAGTGTTAGTGCCACATGCCGAAATTACTACTGCCTGGTCTACTGCTAAGTGAGTGCTATGCCTCACTGTTTACATAAGGTCCAGTTTTTCCAGCAGACTGCAGCAGTGTGAAATTTTACAATTTTAGGTCACTATAGATTATTATGATAGTATAGAATAGGCTGCATGACATGAGCTGCCAGTGCCACAGGGCACAGTGCCACTTGGCACTTGACTAGCCAGCTGCTTTTTACTCTCAACTGGAAATGTAATAATAGGTACTTTCAGTAGTTTGAAGTCAGAATATGATTTGTAGATGTAGGGTTTGATCACCACATTATTGTGAAGCTGTTTCAATCTTCCTAAAAAGTTGGGGATCATTTTTACTTATAAAATGGATTTTTCTAATCACAATGTTAGTAAAGAACAGGATTTTTTCAATCTTGTGCAGTGACTGGCCTCACAGTGTTTCATGAGCCGCTGCATGCCTAGTAGGTCAATAAGGAATTTTGGGCCAAATTTTCCTAAAATTGTCTTTTTAAAATATTGTTTCACAGGTGATATTTTTGAATCACAGGTGAAAATAACAAAGGTGCACAATCTATATGTTCAATATTATCAATATCTTCCTTATTTCTTATTTATAACTGGAAAAATTGAGAAAATGTCATGGGGAAAAGTAAGAAGTGGTTAAATGCACCTGCCTTTTGTCTATTTCACAGGAGGTTTCTGTCCAATTTTCCAGTTAGGCTAAAAGGCTAGGCTAGGGTGGATAATATATAAATTGGTAGCCAGAATTTTGAGGTTGAGTGGTTAAACCTTAAAAAATTTTCTACTTGAGCTCAACTTGTGAGTTGAACTTTAGGTAGCCGATTCATTGTCCTAGAGCCTGGAGGGTGGAGACTTAGACACCACCAAGGTGCAATTGTGGCTGATGGCAATTGCCAACTTGCCAATGATACATTGATACTTCTCCATATATCCGGGGTAACAACCCAACAGGTAACCTGCAAAATTGTCTCCAACTTTTCAATTTATTATATCAGCTTTAAATTACCTCAATCCTGCTGTCTTTTTACAATATAGAAAATATGTAAAAAATTATTTTAATTTTTGAAAAATAAACACTGTATACTGATCAATCTAGTACTGAAAGGGATAAGAAAACTATTGCAAAGATTGGACAATTCATTATATCTTTTTTCTTATTTAAAAATTAAATTCCTAGTATTATTAAAAAATAATTAAAAATTCTTTATATATATATTTTTAAATTTAATTATTTAATTTTTTAAAATATTTACATTGAAAGAAAACAGAACAACAAAATTTTAAAAGAGTGCCAAAACAATACTTAGAATAAATGAGATAATTTTGTATCCTTTGATATAGGGTTTCTTTCTTATCTCTTTAACAAGTGATACTAATAAGTAACATCAACCATCAAATAAAGTGTTTTGAAAGTTACTCCACATTCATTATTTTCCAAGTCTTGGCTTCCCAGCTGCCATGCAACTGCATTTGCAACTGAAATCACCTGTTTTCCAAAACCTCCAGCAATCTTGATCATGAAATCTATCTATCTATCGTCAGTCATGAAAAGATCCGGTCAAATGACACGATTTTAGATCTTCTGTGAACAAGGCACGAAAAGGAAAGGAATCGGCAATAGGCCACATCAGGCCGAGATCAATATGTTATCTTATGTTAAATACAATTTTAAGAATATAAAATCAATTTTGAGATTTTTATTTAAACCAAATTATTTATTTTATTTATTTAAGGTGGAAATATGTTATTATTTTGAATTTATATTTGCTCTATTCTTTTGGAATGAGCAAAATCAGAAATAAAGTAAAAATTTTTCTTTAAAGAAATGTCTTTTTATATCTTTTTCCCACAAATCTAGCTGTGTAAATGTGAAGTGTTTATTCAACTAATTTTAGCTAGCATTTGTACTCAAAAAGGAAACAAAATTTGCTACATTGTGTAAGAACTGTAATTAAAATTTTGTTAAGTAAAAGCTGTTATAAGCAATTGAAAAGTAGGGTAAATTGCTGTGGAAAGCCCAATAGGGTCAAATTGGTTAGATGGGATTGTGGAGAAGAAAGAACTGGCCCATGCTGCCCATTCTAATTTGTATTTGATTGAGAAATCTGATGGATCAGCCTACAATATCATCTTTATCAAAAGTATCTACTATATCCAACAAAATATTCTGAATAAAATCCATATAGTCTACAAATTGGCCACTACCAGGGTTGGCAATGATTAAATCAAAATGATTAAATCATGTGATTAAATCACTTGATTTTTTATAAAAAAATCATGATTTTTTTTATTTTTTCAATTTTTTTGATTTTTTTGATTTTTTCATATATTTAAATATATTAAGTGGCAGTCTTTAATTTATACTGAGGTATTGTTATTCATGGTTTAGTATAAATGTACTATGAATGACAAATTGGTATATAAACTTGTTGCCTTTAGTGTGTATTAGGTTTCAATAAATTGAATGTTTTTGGTACAGAGGTACCAAGTGTGCAATACATTGTATGTAGCTAGCAGCTTAGCTAATTCTTATAAGGCTATAAGTAGTCTTTAACTATTTGACTATTTGTTATATATTGATTACAATATACAATTTAAATGACAGTTAAATGGTCAATATTTAGCTCATTACCTTGCTCCATACAAACTTTACAAAGCTAATGAATAGCAGAATAGACTTACCAATAATTGTTTACCCAAAAATCCCTAAGTGGTAAACACTACCTTGGCCTGTTGGCCATTATTGAAGGCAATAAGTGCCCTTTTTAGCCATCCATTATGATCCATATACTGTTATTGTTAGTTAGGCTAATTGCAACATAAAAAATACCACTTCAAAAAGACAAAAAAGTTGAAAAAATCAAAAAAATCAAATAAATAAAAATAATCATGAAAAAATAAAAAAAATCATTGATTTTTGATTTTTTTTATTTTTTTTTAAAAAATCAAAAAAATCGCCAACCCTGGCCACTACATATGCCATAGTTAGCAAAGAATGCTCAGGAATTACTGTAGTCATCACAGCAGGGCTGCTCATGAGTTAATAAGTGTATGGTGGAATGTGATATGATCTTCATTATCATCTGTATATAAATATCAATAATCAAGCTTCAGTAGACGCAGCATCATGACATCCATACCCTTTACATGTCTAATCTTTTGCTGCTTCACCAACAGGATTTGTCAATTGTGGCTCTTGAATAGGGGCATGGAGGCTACTTAGAGACTTGGACTAGTCTTTAGTGATAATTAAATATGAAGAACCAGTCATGCTATGTAAGTCTCTTCTGCTGTTAAGACTTCAGGCAAGGTTGAGCATTAAAATCTTTGCATTGTTGTTTGTAGAATTATTTTTTAATAGCCCAGCATTTCCAAGCCATTTGGTGGGTACTGCTTCAGATAACAAACCTTTGCTTTTATGAAGATTTTTGTCCATGCCGGACTCCCTAGTGCCCTAGTTGGCAAATGGGCAATGATGTTTTGAAACTCATGTTCATTTTAGTACTCGTGCTTGATTATGATAACTCTGTTGTTTTTTGTCCAGTTGTCCCGGAAACATTTTCTGTCCTTGTAAAGTTGCTTCCAATTGTTTTTTTTTTGTTGAATGGAACATTCGAGGAAAAATTTCTTGCATTTTGAGACTAAAGCTATCAATTATGAATGCAAGTGCTTGATATATTATGCAAGTGCTTCCCTTGAATCAATTTATTTTTATAACTGGGCTGAGAATGAATTAGATTTTCTGAAATTTTTGGTTTTGAGTTTCAAAAATCATTGAGAGAAATTGATTGTATCTAAAGAAATGAGGCAAATGATAAAACTGGAGTGCATTTTGAGCAGAATGCTACAGGAAAAGGTTTGTTGTTTAACATATAAATAGTCTTGTTGCTAATGAGCTCTTCTGTCTCAAAATTGAACAATTATAGTAGTGAGAAACACAGTCTGATTTCCTAGCATGAAAAACGTATAAAAACTCTTGAATAGTAATATATAAAAAATTATACAAAAAAAATCTAAAAAAATGAGCATACAACATACTTATTTATTTCATATGTATACATACCATCATAACAATAATGTTAATTGTTCCTCAAGTTTAATCTTTCTTTACTTGTGAGTGTGATCAAGAAAAATGTTCTGCTTGAGCTTCATGCTTCATCTTGGATTGACTGATTTTCTAAAAATGATTTGGATTGACTGATCTTAGCTTTCAGCATCATTTTTAGTAATAGAAGTAGATACTTGTTTGTGATGTATGTAGTGTTAATGATGAACCTGATAAGTTTAGTAGTTTTTCAGTGCAATATCTTCCGCAATAGCAATGAAGAATGTTCACAACTTGAATTTAATTTGATCATTTTCACAAATGATTATCCCCTCACCGTTGGTATTCATTACCTAACCTTGGATGCTATGCACCCACATTAGTAAAATATTGTTTCCAATTGTTACCCTACTGTATATCATCTATCCAGTTTTTCAGCTGTTGAAATATTGTTGAAAAATCAGTGCAACATTATATTATATTATTGTATATTATAGTATAAATTGTCCACTTATTTTATTCTAAGCCATGTTATTGAAGTCGTGCATTTTGTGTTCAAGAAGCCACATAAGCAGCGTATGCTGGAAATCTGGACACTACCGAGGCAGATGCAAAGAAGCCAAAGGAACTCTTGGGCAGTCTATGGTTCAGGAAGCAACATTGAAAAAGATTACCATAGGCATCTGTCCTCTTTCAGAAGTCAATCGTTTACTATGCCATACCTTCAATGTGGTTATAGTCTAATTTTTGGAGGGTTCTTTTCATTTAATTGATAACTTCAGTACTCGATCAAGTTCTAATGATAGCAAACTCGGGACTCATGAAAATACAATCTGACTCCTGTAACATCTTCAAATGATTTTTGAATGTTAAATGATTTTATTATCTATTAAAATGTTGATTGTTAAATATCTTGGCAATCATAATATACTGAAAACTTTATGCATTAAAAAAACAGTTGGCATTTCCTGCTGTGTCTTTAATGGCTGACAGTTTCCTACTGTGTCCTTAAAAGTAGACAGTTTTCAACTTTGTCCTTAATGGTAGACAGTTTTCTACTGCGTCCTTAATGGTAGACATTTTCCTACTTTGTCCTTAATGGTAGACAGTTTTCTACTGCCTCCTTAATGGCAGACATTTTCCTACTTTGTCCTTAATGGTAGACAGTTTTCTACTGTGTCCTCAATGATAGACAGTTTTCTACTGTGTCCTTAATGGTAGACCAATGACCAAATCTCTTCACCAATCCATGCACTTGTTTTTGAATGAAAAAATTTTCTCAGCAGGCCTGCAACAGACCTGGACGAGGAGGTCAAGTATCACATCCTTCAACTTCAGTTCCACCTTCATCACACCCTGTAACTTTAGTTATACTCTCATCACGCCCTTCAACTTCAGGTCTACCCTCATCAAACCCTTCAATTTCAATTCTACCCACATCACATCCTTCAACTTCAAATCTACCTTCATCTCACCCTGTAACTTTAGTTATACTCTCATCACACCCTTCAACTTCAGTTCTACACCCATCAAACCCTTCAACTTCAGTTCTACCCGCATCACATCCTTCAACTTCAGTTCTTCCCTCATCACACCCTTCAACTTCTGTTCTGCCCTCATCACACCCTTCAACTTCAGTTCTGCCCTCATATTACTCAACTTCACCAATGTTTTCTTCACACTCAACTTCCGTCACGCCCTCTTTACACTCATCAACTTCCGTCACGTCCTCTTCACACTCTTTAACTTCCGTCATGTCCTCTTCACACTCTTCAACTTCCGTCACGCCCTCTTCACACTCTTCAACTTCCGTCATGCCCTCTTCACACTCTTCAACTTCCGTCATGCCCTCTTCACACTCTTCAACTTCCGTCACGCCCTCTTCACACTCTTCAACTTCCGTCATGTCCTCTTCACACTCTTCAACTTCCGTCACGCCCTCTTCACACTCTTCAACTTCCGTCATGCCCTCTTCAACTTCCGTCACGCCCTCTTTACACTCATCAACTTCCGTCACGTCCTCTTCACACTCTTCATCTTCCGTCATGCCCTCTTCACACTCTTCAACTTCCGTCACGCCCTCTTCACACTCTTCAACTCCAGTTATGCTGTTATCATGCACTTCAACTTCACTTCGACCTGCTTCATTTACTTGCTCAAATCGACAAGAACCACCAATGTCTTTAATTTCATCAACATTTCCGGCACCATATTGCTTAACATCTCACTCGCCTTGTGCATCAAAAATGTCACCAACGTCGCCTCTTCTGGCTTCAGTTGCTCATGGCAAGTAGTACAAGTCTTATTATTGTTGGCTCAAAAATATTACACCAAGATCTATAAAGGTTAATTTTGATAAGGTATGATTATCTGCCAAAAATGGGGACTATCAAGTGATGTTTAGGAGTGACTCACGAGCATCAAAAATTTTATGAGACACTAAAAACTTGAAAAAATATATTTTCAGTCGATTCTAGTCATTACTCATCAAAAGTGTGAACGTTTGTAGGTATTTAAGAGTAGAGAGTTTGTTTCGAAAAGAACTAATTTACAAAAAAGTGAGTGTATCCTCGGATCACCAGGACCCTGGTAATCCCAGTCATCAGGATCCAGATTGCCAGCATCTTAAACTCCGAAAATGAGTGAAATGTTGTCCAAATAGCACTGTATCTATTGTCCTCGAGTGGGTCATCCTGAGCAACTTACTTTGCCTTAGACCATAATTATGTTGCCCTTACATTGGTTAGTTTTGAAATGTACTCTTCTATTCGATATATGAAAATTTAATATGAATACTGTATGAGAACATTGCATAATGTATGATGTATTGTCTTCATACTGCATGAGTATATTGTATGATGTATTGTCTTCATACTGCATGAGTATATTATATGATGTATTGTCTTCATACTGTTTCACTACATGAAATAATGACGTACATGTCTTCTAGACCGACCGACGGAGTGCAACGCTGCAAACAACAACATTAAGGGCGATGCTGAGATGGGTGATATAGATGTCAAGGACGAATCATTCTCCTATGATGATAAGGTACCATGCAATGATAATGAGGTGCAATACAATGATGACAAGGTATAATGCTGTGATAATGAGGTGTAATGCTATGCTGATATGAATTGCAATGCTATTGAAGTTTATGATGACACATATTTTTGAGTAGAGCTTAGGTCATCATTCTCATTCATCGCTAATTTTAGGGTCTATTTAAATGAAAAAAATTCGGCTCTAAATAATATGAATGCACAGGCTGCAGCCAAGTTGCGTGATAAATGATATAATATTTGCAACTGCTATAGAATAATCATCTTTCATTGTTGATTACAAAACTGACTACAAAACACAACTTTTCAGCAGGCTCACGTGCCTTGCAGCTCTGGTGCTGCTTGTCCTTCATCTCTATTTCCGCCACCTCCTCCACCTCTCGTATGCTGGAGGCCATGCAAGACGGAAGCTCAAATTGCGGACCTGTGTGCTCAGCGAGTCTTATTCTCACATTTTGTGAGAACACTATTTAGTTAAATAACTTTTTGTTATTTTTTTGAATAACTGACTTTTGAGTAGCAATTGATTGGATCCAGAAATGAAAATTGTAATAGTCCATCATATGCTTTTATTTTAATTTAATAATCATTTACATCAAATATATTAACAGAAATAAATTTTCTTAAGATCTTCTTGCTGTTTATTTTTTAAAGTTTCTGGAAAGGCTATAACAAAAAAGTTGAGACTAGTAGAGTTCGTTTTTTAAAATAATTGTAACAGAATCTATTACCCAACTAAATCATAAGAGTTTTATATTTTCATGAGTGAAAACTCGCACTACCGGTATATACTTTGTTTCAAGGAATTTTTTTTTGCCTTCTAGCCAGATCCGGGTTCTCTAGAAGCCCCGGATGATATGGAGTCGTCTTCTGCATCCAGCAAAGGCGCTCCTGTTGGGCTGAACGAGTCGATGCAATTTGAGGATTCTGAACTTAATTTAAATAGCACGCCATTGGCAAGTAATCGGGCCGACTGGTTGGATCCTTGGCTGGCATCTTGGGAGAAAAATTCAAATTCACATGGCGAATTGGCAGAAAAACTTCAAATCACTTCTAAAGCAAACGTCAAGACAATGCTATCGAACCGCCTTGAAGTTCCAGAGCTCTCGCCGGCGCATAAAACTCCAAAACGGCGCGGCGAAGAGACTGGCAAGTCTTCCGACGCCCGAAGTTCCCACCAGCTTTCTGGATTCAGTAGCCCTACAAAAACTACCCCAGTTCTTGGCCAAAAAACTGAATTTTTGGCTGAAAAATATTTCGAGCAGAGTTTTGGATCGCATTTCATCTACGGGCTCAAGAAATTTGTTCTACAAATGAAGACTCGAAAGCTCTTGAACCTTGCACTTGAAAGGTGAAGAGCATAAATTTTCGGGCTTGATTTGTGTTTATATTGTTCTGCGAAATAGATGTTCATCATTCTTTCTATGGGAGTTAAATGATTGTCTATATTAATAGTCATGAGATGACGTTTGTTGTCAAAACTAAGCGCAAATTTGTTCTTCTGTTGCAGACCAAACTCCAATGGACCTTCGCCAAAGCGGCCTCGCGTGGAGGAGGTAGCTGCTTGCGCTCCTTGTGAGGCAAGGTTAGAGATGATGACAAACCCTTAGAAACTTACTGCTTATATCAAAAAGTAACCGTTACTGAGCTTAACTCTGGCAACTTTTGTTAATGGTGGGGATCGCATTGAATTTCTTTCACTGAAAGAAAGACATGAAAACCGTCAGATGGGGTAACATTGACCCAAATTTTACATTTTTTACAGTTTATCAGATCGATATCGCATGCCTCTGATTAGTATATTAATTTTAATGTATTATAAGGTAAACAAACTACCTATCAGCCATCAACTTAAAAACCATATTTTGAATTGTTCTAATTGCTGTTACTTCAATGCTAATAATATAATGAAAAACTTCATTTCGCGGCGTCGAACGAAGACAATGTCTATCCGTGCTGAGTACACATAATTTCAATTTTTATACGTAGATGCCGCATGTTCAATGATAGAAAAACGTAGGAGTAGGCATATTGTAGATATGAGGTGCTGTTGGCATCCGTCCATCTCGAGAGATGATGGTGTGCACCCCGTCCGTCATCGCACAACACGCTGTCGACAGCGCCTCGAGTGGCTCGTCAGGCCGATTCGGGCATGGCAGTCACGACCGCAGTTGGCGCAAATAAAGCCCGATGGTGCGACGATGTTATTCCTTGTTTGCTGTCTGGCTTTCCGGAGACGGTGCTTGTCTTCAAGCTCACGGCTGCTCAGCTCCTCGCCCCTCCGGACTCCCTCCCGAACGGCCCGCCGCCAACCGCAGCGGTCGACCGCAAGCCGCTCCCAGGTTTGGAGGTCGATAAATGCTGCTCTGAGGCTGCGCTTGCAGGTCTACGTCTTTGAAGCGCAAAGCCGGACGGCCGGCCGGGCGCGCACCCGCACCAGTTCCCCGTAGAGCAAGTCCTTGGGAATGCGACCATCCTGCATGCGATGCACGTGACCGAGCCACAGGGGACGGCGCTGGCACAGGAGGAGATGCTTGCTCGTTGTGCTGGCTTGTTCCAAAACAGCTGTGTTTGTGACCCTGTCCTCCCATGTGATGTTGAGGATGCGGCGGAGGCAGCGAAGGTGGAAGCACTCTATACGATTTTCCTGTTTAGCGTATGTGGTCCAGGTTTCGCTGCCGTACAGAAGGGCACTAGTGACGCACGCATGGTACACTTTCAGCTTAGTGTGAAGCGACAACCGCCTGTTGGACCACACCCTTACCTTCAGTCTGGCCATCACACTTGACGCTTTTGCAATCCTCTTGTCGATCTCGCTATCGAGGGACAGGTTGTTGTTGATGGTGGAGCCCAGGTAGGTGAAACGCTCGGCGACTTCGAGCTGATTACCGTCAATGGTGATAGATGGGGGCACTACAACATCCTTACCGATAACATTTGTTTTCCTGATGTTGACTGTCAGGCCAAACTCCCTGCAGGCGTGAGCGAAGCAGCCCAACAGCCTTTGTAGATCCTCCTCGGTGTGGGAAGACAGCGCCGCGTCATCAGCAAAGAGCGCATCTCTGATGAGGACAGCGCGGACCTTTGTTCTTGCTCTCAAACGAGCCAAGTTAAAGAGTTTGCCATCACTTCTGGTATGTAAAAGTATGCTCTCAGTTGAGTCTCTGAACGCGAACTTGAGCAGCAGCGAGAAGAAGACGCCGAAGAGAGTAGGGGTCAGGACACAGCCCAGCTTTACTCCACTTTTGATACTAAAAGGCTCTGAGGTATTGCCATCATGGCTGACTACGCCCTGCATGTCGTCGTGGAAGGAAGAGATAATGCTGAGAAAACGGGGGGGGGGCAACCTATCTTCCTCAGCATCAAGAACAGACCTTTCCGGCTGACAAGATCAAACATCTTTGTCAGGTCGATGAACGCAATGTACAAAGGCTTCCGCTGCTCACGACGCTTCTGCAGCTGGCATAATGAGAAAATCATGACTGATGTGCCCCTCTGGGCCCTGAAACCGCACTGGGATTCCGGTAAACGCGATTAGCGAGGGCTTGTAGGCGACCGAGCACCACACGGGCGAATACCTTGCCCACTATGCTGAGTAGCGACATCCCTCTGTAGTTTTTGCAGTCGTTAAGATCGCCTTTGTTTTTGTACAAAGTGATAATTGTTGCGTCGCGCATGTCTTGCGGTACCTGGCCCTCCCTCCAGCAAAGACATAAGAGCTCGTGTAGGGGGCCAAGTAAAGCCCGCTTGCCACTTTTGATGACCTCTGGGGTTATTCCATCTTCCCCAGCTGCCTTCCCACAGGGGAGGATGTCGATGGCTTTGTTTAGCTCTTTGACAGATGATTCAGCATCCAGAGCATCGAGGGAGGGCAAGTTCTCAATATCATCCAGCTTTTCCTGCGAGACGTTGTTAACATTGGAGTAAAGGTCGAGATAGTGTTCAACCCATCTACTCAACTATTCGGTCCTGCTGGAGATAGGCTCGCCCGATCTAGACCTCAACAAAGCCGTCCTCGCCACCGGTCTCCCACTTGCTCGCTTGATCCCCTCGTACTTGCCTCTAACATTGCCAGAGTCTGAGGCCCGCTGAATGCTGTCCGACAACTGCAGCCAGAAGTTGTTTGCGCAGCGGCGAGTCATTTGTTGGGCCCGCTTCCGAACCGCTCTCAATACCTGTAGGTTCCTCTGGCTTGGATCACTTTTGTAATTAAGCATTGCTTTTCTTTTGCTGATGATGGCAGGTTCCAACTCACCGATGTTGGCCCCAAACCAGTCAGCACTATTTCCCTCCTTTATGCCATAGGCCAAGACAGCACATTATAGATGGCGCTGAGGAGAGAGCACCACCCACCGACTGCGCGCTCTGCCCGTTCAGCAGGGAGCAACTCCGTAATATGCTCCGTAGGCATCAATTCTTGACTGGCATTTCCTCTTGAGAGTGTGTAATTTTTTTGGTTTGATTTTGATGTTAGATGTGACCAAAGAGTCGTCAGTATCGCAGTCGGCGCTGTTGTATACTCTTGTGTTTCGCACGCTGTTCAAAGAGCCGCGGCGTGTGATAATTAAGTCCAGCTGGTGCCAGTGGTTCGATCTGGGATGTCTCCAGGATGCCCTGCGGCATAGTTTGTTCTGGAAAAACGTATTTGTCACGCACAAGTTGCGGTGGCAGCAGAATCAGAATTCCAGCAATCTCTGGCTGTTTTCATTCATTTTCCCGATGCCGTGGTGACCCAGCACTTCAATCCAGGACTCGTGGTCTGTCCCAACTCTGGCGTTGAAGTTGCCCACGAGGTAAATATTCTCTGGCATTGGGATCCTGTCGATGGTATTCGCCATGAGTTTGTAGAACCTATCCTTAGTCTCAGGCGGTGCTTGGAGCGTAGACACAAATGATGTTTGCAAAACCAGCCGAGGTTGAAAGAGCGAAGAATGTCTGAGGATTCTATCCGTGCCACCATGCGGGGGTTCAATTGTGTGAAGCAGGGTGTTCCTGACGGCAAAGCCAACTCCATGTTCCTTCACATCCCCGATACATCTCTCCTGCCAGAAGAAGGTGTAGTGTTCCTCTTTTAGGGAGCCATCTTCAGGGAGTCGAGTTTCCTGCAGCGCTGCTATATCCATTTAGCCTATGTAGCTCCCTGTCAATCACTGCGGTCTTGCGAAAGTCTGAAATGACACGGAGGTCATTAGACAGGCCGGTGCGCATCGTACGCACGTTCCAACTTGAGATTCGAAGTGATGAAGACTCCATCTGTTGATGCGGTACAATGGCTCCCTCACCGTCGAAGTCAGACCCCGGAGTCCAACTCTACCCTAGTTGAGCGAGGACTTATAGCCCGTTAGTTATCGTAGTTATCGTCTTCCGTTTGCACAAATGCAGTTCCACAGTAAAACGTGGTAAGGGAACAGTGAAAATCTCAGTCAAGTCAGTTCAGTCAGTTTACCAACACGGTAAACCCAACCATCCAAAGTAATTTATTAATGGAACCAGATGAAATCTTTCCTGCCGTCGTAATTTCACCGTTTCACTCCAGTATATTTTTATAAGGCGTTCACTCCAGTATATTCCATTAAAACACTTCATTTAATCACTTCAGTCAGTAAAACGTGGTAAAGGGAACAGGAACAGCTGATATGAGGTAGAATAATATTATTCCTATCTTCAATATTTTTTCACTATATATATACAAAATAATGCCGTAAGTCCGAAAGGAGAAATCTGAATGCCGAGTTGTAAGTAAAATCAATTCTAAACAATTTTGACAAGATCATAAATAAAATGGTCTACGAGTATCGTTACGAGTTACTATTCTCCGTGTCACTGGATAGAACTCGTTCCAAATCTGGGTAAGTTAGAAACACTAAAACAGCGAAATAATAAAAGAAGTAAAATAAACTTCATGAGAACAATAGAAGAAATGTATGCAATGCAAGAGGGAAGCAGGATAGAACGGAACACTTGAGGAGACTTAGGTTGACACCGCCATTTGATGGCTCACATGCAAACATTTCCACTTGGACTTAATTGTAATGCAATTGGATCTGCGCGGAAAGTACATAGCCCACAAATTGGACGTCGAACGCATGGCTTTGGCCTTTAATTCCAGCTTTCTCCTATTGATTGTTGTACGCTACATCGCAACTCAGGCACGCTGTTGGGGCGGCTCTGAATTTGGGCGTGGAGGGGTGACCACAAGAGGAGGTAGGTAAGAAAATGATGGGAGACCAGGATGTTTGCAGATGACTGCCCCCTAGGTTGAACACGAGAACGTCCATGGGAAAGGAAGGGCAGGATAAGAGGAGCTCAGGGGAGATGTGGAGACCTCCACATTCTCTAATGTGGTGGAGACCCAAATGTGGAGACCCGACCCTAATCGGAGATGTGGAGATATTAGCATTTGTGCTTGAGGGGGCGCCACACCTTGAATGTGTAGGACGCGTTGTGGCTGCAAAAGCCCGACCGACGAAACCCATGTTTAATATTGGTTGGGTTAACGTTGTTCAAGATTAAATTATTACCCAGATATATTAGTTGTTGTGGTTTTTTCATCTTTTATTTCAAAAACATGCAATAATTGGTGGACATGTAATAAATAAGTTAAACTTCATTTTAGTGAAAACTTATTTTATATTTTAGAAAAATGCCATTTTACATCACTCATAGTTTGCTAGTTATAGTACATGGAACTGGTTCCTCTTTGAAGCTTTTTTGGGTGGATTTATCTTCTGACAAACTTCCGCCTAGTAGCCAAAACTTGAATCTCTTTTCTATGCATTCAATTTAAGGTCCTTCGTCAGAAAAGCTGCAAAATTTTGTCAGGGAATTTTTATCCATTATATCTAACATCCTCAGAGTTATCAACAGCAGAGTCTTCAGGTTTCAACTCAATTCGTGTTTCATCATCTTTAGGCATGTGAAAAAGTATATGCCTGCTTCTTCTTGTGATATTTTTTCTAGATCAGCAAAGGTTTCACTTCGCTCATCGGACTCTCTGAAGGAGAATTGCACCTTTTTTGTTTTTTCCTAACATTGGTGATATATCATTAGTGATAATGTCTGAATTAAAGTTACCCTAATTCTGGGCAAAAGTTTCCATGAAATTGTAAAAATAGCATTTTTATTAATAAATAACAAGTGAAACAACCTTAATACACAAGAAATGCCTGAAACAATAAATATTTAATATAATTACACACTACTTATTATTAGCTCTTCAATAATTAATTCTTAGAAGTAAAATTGTAGTGTAAACAAGTTTCAAGCCATCTAAAGTGAAGATGGAGTAGCACTGGAATAGGCAGAAAATATGGAATCAAACCCACTCATCATCAACAGTCTAGCCAGTGATGCTACCTAGCTATCCAGTGATACATGATCTAGGTCGTACCTCCTTACTTGATCACACTACACTACAACACTAAAGTACTTTTTCTAATTGTGGGCCAATGTTATAATAAAGGGAATATTTTACCCCATCTGACGTTAATAGAATGAACGAGAAAGGTTTGATAAACGTTCGTGAGAGAATTTCAAAAAGCTGCACATATAGAACAGCGCTGGCTCTTAGGTTGCCGTTCAGATGATACGATATTACACCAACACTTCGGTCGTACGATATTTCTTCAGAGTATTATCGCATTGCTAATGTCATTTCCTTCCACTATTTCAGAACTGCTTATCGTTGCTGCCCCAAAAAGGCTATCCAAAATCGACAGCAGGCAACTGTATGCCTCGTTCCATCCTGCGGCATCGAGACACAGCATATTCAGCAGCACTACCAAGAGCATCATGAGTTGCCGGTGGTCTGTGCCGAGCAGCTAACCAAGCTTGGCAAGGACTTCGAGGAGCTTGATAAGACTGCTGAGCACACGCTTGTCTTAACACCAGAGGAGATACATGAAGAGCTTGAAAATTCACTTACCGAAGTGATGGCCATTGACCAGACGGCGATCAATGCCCTCACGGGGCAACTGAGAACATTCGTTGATCTTTTCACTGCTTTTCAAAAAACGAAAAACGACGCAGCGGAAGGATTTTCAGCCATCACGACCCCGTCATATAGAGACAACCGTAATGAAATTATCCTGAAAAACAAAAGCAACCCATCCAGAGGATTTTCAGCCATCACAACCTTTCCCAATAGTGACAACAGGAGTCAAAATATCCTTGAAAACAGAAACAACCCGTCGAGAGGACTTTCAGCCATCACAGTCTCGTCCGATAGAAACAACAGGAGTGAAAATGTCGTGGAAAGCAGAAGCAACTCATCAAGAGGTCTTTCAGCCATCAAAATTTCGTCAAATAGAAACAACAGGATTGAAAATATCTTTAAAAACAGAAACAACTCATCGCAAGGACTTGCAGCCATCACAATTTCGTCAAGTAGTAACAGCAGGAGTGGAAATGTCCTAGAAAACAGAAACAACTCATCGAGAGGACTTTCAGCTCAAAAAGCCTCGTTAAATAGAGACAGCAGGAGGGACGTGTGTGAGCTTGTTGAAGCACCGCCCTTTGAAAATCAACAGAGTGCTCAAGACCTAAGGCCTCGAGAATCAAGCCTTAACAGATACGTTGCTTTGTGTCCTATGTGCGAAGTTCCCTTTGTTTCGTCGTATATGATGAAACACTTTATATGGGGTCACCAAATAAGAAATCTGGACTGCATTGCTCGCTTTTATGCTGTCGCCCAATCCAAAGAAAAGTTGATTTTACTAACTCGGGTTCCCAAAATGCCATATCGGACAGCGGACTGTGTGAGAGAGGAGGACTTGGCTTTGCTTCGGAATGAAAGTAAGTTAGTGTCGACGACTGGCGGCCTACGAATACTCGGCGAGAATAATGTCCGAAATAAAGCTCAGAAGTTGGACCTTTTAGACAAGAATAATAATGCAGGAAACCAAACTGAGAATTATGGAGACGACTTTAACAAGGAAACGAGTGATGCGTTAGCATTCGTACAGGGGCAAACCATATTTCCAACGTAACGTTGTTAATTAACCTTTGCATTACGAGGAAGAAATAGTATCCTGGCCTGGCTGCTGATCCACCTACGCTTCTATTATGCTGGCAACTATCAATAAGAAGGGACTTCGTATTATTTTAGTTTGGTGTATAAGGAATTTGTTTTGTGATTGGTAGTTGTTTGTTCATTTGCTGTCTTCATGTAATCTTGCGCTAGCGAACCACCGAAGTTGCTGTTGATCTCTTTATGCTGATCTCCTTTGCCTTTAGTATCCTCACTGCCGATCCCCTACGTCTCTAGTATCCTTGAAACCACTCCTGCTAGAGGTCTCCTTTGCGAGTAAAATCGCTCGACTCGTATTGTTCCTGTAACATGCCTCTCTTATTCATAATATTTCGTCTAGCCTGTTGCTCAACTTAGCAGCTTTTTCAATGTTATATGCAGAGAAAGTAGCTGATAATTAAAACTATGCTTCGGATTAAGAAATGGAAATTTACCAGTAAGACAGGATTTGCCAGTAAGACAGGACTTCGTATCTTGCGGAGAGAAATAGTTGATTGGTTTTCTGTTTTTTTATCGTTAGTGTTTTTTTGCGATCGTGCGCAACAATTGACATCATCGCTAGCGAACGGCCGAAGAATGTAACTGTAAATCCTTTATGCTGACCCCACTTGCCTCTGACATCATCGCTGTTTATCACATGTGCCTATAGTACCCTCGCTGCTAATTCTTCTTGTCTAGTATCCTCACTGCTGTTCTTATTGCCTATGGTATCGTATAGCTGCTGAATCCTGCACCTTTGGTATCCTCATTGCTGAATTCCTTGCCTCTAGTATCCTGGCAGCTACCAATAAAATTAGGACTTCGTGTTTTTTTTTTATTTCAGCAAATGAGAATGTTTATTTATCATTATCGTTGCTAGTATATTTGCATATTCTTTTTTCAAATAATCGTACGCAGCGAACGGCTGGTGTATCTTCGCTAGTCCCCTTGTTTATGGTATCTTCGCTGCTGATGACCTGCGCCTTTAGTATCCTCGCTGCGGATCCTCTGTGCCTCTAGTATCCTCGCTGCGGACCCTCTGTGCCTCTAGTATCCTCGCTGCGGATCCTCTGTGCCTCTAGTATTCTCGCTGCGGATCCTCTGTGCCTCTAGTATCCTCGCTGCGGATCCTCCATGTCTCTAGTCTCCTCGCTGCGGATCCTCTGTGTCTCTAGTATCTCTGTGCCTCTAGTCTCCTCGCTGCGGATCCTCCTGCTTCTAGTGATCTTGCCTATAGTATCTTGCCCACTAGGATAACGCCCCTGTTACATGCCTCCTTTACGAATACAACCGCTTGACTCCTTCCGAGACTCACGTTGTCCGCACTACATGCCTCTCTTATTCATATTTCCTCTGTGCTTCGCTTAGCAGTCTCTTCAGAATATTTTTATAAGGAAGGTAGCTTTCAATTATAAGTAGTTTACTGCAGTTAGTCAGTTCTTAAGGAAATGTCGTTAGTTATTAATTATACTTAGAATTAAGAAATGGAAATTTGTCAACTATCAATAGGACAGGAAGAATATTTTTGAAAACAAATGAGAATTTTTTTTTCTAAATAGAAGTTACTCACTTGAATGCATTTGCTGTTTGTATTGACCTGCTCAGCAAAAAATGTGATTGCTGATGAATGACCGAAGAATAATGCTTTAAATGAATTATGCAAGAATGGATGGTGTCGTAGTTTACGGCATCGAGTCCAAGTTAGTTGAATTGATTTCCTTTTAGTTCTGAACGTTGCAGTCCCAGGCCACGCTGATGCATCGTTTTAGGGGCGGCAAAAGCTGAGGCTTGAGCTCGCACTTCTGTGAAGCTCAAGTTGCCAAGTTAGTGGCCGAGGCTTGCATCATCATATAACATTTACCTCAGGCACGCGGAAATATCAGCATATGTGGCTCGTATTATTTCTGAGGATATAGTAATGCCAGATTTGATTAGGTCATGTTGGCTTGTCACCGTTTACTAAATCATCAGCAACTTGGCAATTTCGACCAGAACTTTTGAAATCAAAACTTGCTGCATGCTGCTCTAAACGTGGTGATCTCAATAACTTGGCCATCTCGAGCTTCGCGGGCTATAATTATCATTACTATAATTCGAAGAAATTATCGTGCAACAAAACTACTAGGGAAAATTACATTTTGAGAGTACCGAGACTACGCTAGAAAGTGGAGGAAAAAAAGTTTTGCGAAAATAGAATAGACGACTAGGTGTAACAGTCGCCGGTGAGTGGCTGTTCCGTACAAGACGAGTACCCGCGTCGAACGTATTGGATTGCTGAGGAAGTAATTCTGCATGGAAACAGGAGTTAAATTTCTAATCTTGTCTCGATGTACTACTCGAACCACCGCACCACTGTGCGGCGCATGCCCATTAGGGCCGCGCAGGCCCAGATAGACTCAATATGGTGGGTCGTCTGTGTCAGATGCAGCCGACGGGTCGACATGTTCGCAAACAGAGACATGTTCGTTGCAAATCAATCTCTAACCTCCTATTTGTAACTGGAAAAGTTTGCAAGAAAAGGTGTTCGTAAGTCAAGGTATCACTGTATTTTGATTCACGTTTTCATTCGGATATGGAACAATAGTTTTGGGTGCCTGCAGGAATTGGGTGATGGTCATTGATGGTTCTGAAAAGCTTAATAGCTAAAAGGCTTGTTATGTCTTAATAATGTCCGTCACGCATTCTCTTCTTTCCATTGGTTCGATTGAATTCAATTCCCTAACAACAATGGAAGCCGGAATTTTCTAATACTTTCTATCGTGACTGACACATAGTACCAGGGAATCGTACCAAGTGCATGTATAATTATTTCCATGATCGAGAGAATGTCAATCTATCACAACCAAGTTTTCACCATTCAACCAAGTTACTAACGGACGATGATAGAATAGAAGTGTCGGCACTGAAGAAATAGGCCCATGGCCTGTTGCCGATTCTTGTTCATAGAATATAATAGAAGTGTCGGCACTGAAGAAATAGGCCCATGGCCTGTTGCCGATTCTTGAACTTTTCGTTTCTTGACTCACAAGGGATCCGGCCTTTTCACTAAGATCTTACCAGAACTGACGATTGATTGAGATAACTGCTGGACTTATTGCCTGGTCCGTAAGGTGCAAGGGATTTCAAGACTGAACATTTGCTCCTGCATATATCTTTATCTAGTCTATTCTTGGTGGCGTTTATTCTCTGAGAAGTACATTGGAATTCAATTTGTCCCACAGTATATTTAGAGTTAAAATCTGTATAGGTTCTGGTTTCAGTAATATCAATTCGAGGTTAGTGCTCTAGTCTAAGTAATGTCACTTGATTGCTTGGATCGCAAATTCACTAAGAATTGGAAATCAAAGAAAATAGCCAGCAAATTCACCATTTATTTATATGAGAAAACGTTTCGGACTCCAGCTTCATCGTCAGTTAAATACTTATAAAACTAGCAGAATCTATAGAAAATTAAAATGCGCATTGAAGATAAAAACTTACATTGACAAAAGAAAAAACAAATACTCATGAGGAGACAGGCCTATCTATTTGCAGTTTCAGGGGGATAGGAGCTGAAGGCTCCACTCAAACTAGGTTTCTGTTTAATAATATACAGGGATTCGTATGTCAGAAACACCAGTCGTGAAAGCTAGAAATCTAAAATCATCTTCGGACACCGGAACATTACACTGCTCGGCATGAACGTGCACAGCTGAATGAGGAGGATGCGCAAGTAATGTTCCCGCTCTAAAATTTCTGCCCTTATGCTCAAGCGAAAATATTGCGAGAAGTCATACCGACGTATGCTGAAGTGCAGTGAGAATTTACAAAAGGATAAAGTCCCAACATCAATGTTCAAGGTGATCTTCGCCACCAAATCTCCCCCCTTTTGTATACTTGGGTTACCACCGTTTTAAGGTTGAAACGTATGCTAAGCCTTGGCAATGTTTCAAGTGCCAAGATTTTGGGCTCATTGCTAGCGACTGCAGAGGCCCCTCGCGTTGTTTTGGTTGTGAGTGCCCTCACAGTGTTAAGGATTGCTCTTCCTTTAGAACTCAAGCTCCAAGATGTTGCAACTGTGAATGTGCACTTACGACCAGCTTTGGGGGCTGTCTCCATATGAAATTTGAAGCAATTGTGGAAAGGACCCGTTCAGTTGAGAAAATATCATCCGGGGATGCTGTCAGACGTGTCAAAGAAAACACTACCACAAACTCCACCCAATGCCAAACAATAGGGCAGTGGTTCTCAAACTTTTTCAGGCTTGCGCCCCCTTTGGCTCCCTAGTGAATTTCTAGCGCCCACCCCCCCCCCTAGACATACGCCTCTTTCTTGGAATTTAGTACGCTGCAATTTTAAAAGATAAAGGTTAAACACAAATGTGTATTTCACAAATAGAACCCCATTGAGTGAACCAATATGTTTTTCATCTGTTTGAACTGTTTCAGCACTAGAAACCTAGGACGTCTCGGGTGAATATACGGCCGGACTCGTGGCTGGTCTCACGACCAATCTCCAAATTCAATTATCATGTAATATCTCCCAAACTAATGAACGCCGCTCTATGAAGCATGGAACATGTATTCATCAGAACCTAACGGTGATGTTTAGCTCGTAATTTTTTTTTTGAATTTCAACTTCATTCGTGAGTAGCGCGTATATTGCGAAACAGGGCGAAATTCGCAGTGATCAAAAAATTTATTCCAAAATATTGAACAGATTTGATCGAAATTCTGAATACACATTCCTAACTACCAAACGTTATTTTTTAGATTATAAAAATTTTCTAGATTTTACCTTCGTTTAGATTTTACCTTCTTTTTTCATTTCACCGTCATTCTTGATTTCACACTTCCTTATATTCGGCTCGTATATCGCCGGGTAATGTGTCACTTAAATTCGCGGCGATCAAGAAATTTCTTCCAAATTACAGAACAGATTTCAACGAAACTTTGTATATAATTACCTAACCTCTCAACACTGATGTTTAGCTCGTGACAATTTTTTTATTTTGCTTTCGTTCGCGAGTTATACAGATATATAGGAGGAACGACCTGCTTTTCTACCGGCCGGTCCAAGAGCCGCATACGTATAGCCGTATAACTCGCAAACAAATGCAAAACGAAAAAATTGTAATGCGTTAAACATCACCGTTGCTGAGGTTATGTATTTGAATACTAAGTTTCGTTCAAATCTGTTCAGCAGTTTGGGAAAAATTTCTTGATTACTGCGAATTTAAACATGTTATTGCTGTTTAAATCACGAATGAAAGGGAAATAAAAAAAAACTCACGAACGAAGGTACAATCGAAAAATTTTTACGAGCTAAACATTACCGTTTGGTAATTAGGACTGCAAATTCAAAATTTCGTTCGAATCCGTTCAGTAGTTTGGAAGAAATTACTTGATCTCTGTGAATTTCGGTCAGTATTGCCATATAACTATGGCAAAAACAAACGATGGCAAATTCAAGCAATTTTCACGAGCTAAACATTATCGCTAGGTCCTAATGAATCCGTTTACCAAGTTTCATCGATTTAAGTTTGAGAGATATTATTAGTTTGAGAGATATTCCTTGATCATTGAATTTGGAAATTGGCCTTGAGACCGGCCGCGAGTCCGGCCGTTAATTTGTCGCAGACGTAAACCCAGGATAGGTTAAAAAACAGATCTAGGTGAAAAAAACCATCGCTGGGAGTCATATGATGTGCTGCACGTGTTTTGTACAAATCGTACTTTTGACGTCGACTTCGGACTCCCGCCCCCCTTTCGCCCCCCTACTGCCCTCTTCCTTACCGCCCCCCAAAATCTTTCCACCGTCCCTAGGGGGGCGCGATATCGCCCACTTTGGGAACCACTGCAATAAGGAAATAATAATGCAATGGAACTGTTGAAGCTTAAGAAATAAACTTAGTAGTAACTTGAAACTCCACATATACAGCACAAAACCTCACATTATCTGCTTATGTGAAACATGGCTATCTGCAGAATATGAACCTAATTGCATTAACTACCTATACACCAATCTACAAGCATAGGGAAGGTGATACAGTGGGTAGTGGCTTGGCAATTTTTATAAGAAGCGATATATCATACCTTACTGTGCAGCATTTCCAATCATTTTCTTGCACGCGGGGAATGGGACGCAGATCGCAAGCTCCTACTAAAACTATACAAAACTTTAGTCCTCAGTCGACTAGATTATGCGGCTCCCTTCTATGCTTGCGACCCAAACACTGCTCTCAAAACTTTTTGCAGAACCACTGACACAATGCAGAACCACTGCCTTAGAACTACCCTGGGGTGTATAAAAACCACCCCAACTTGCTCATTTGAAGTTGAAGCCAACATCCCTCTACTATCAATCCACCGTAAACAGCTTCTGTGTCGATACTACTACAGACTTACCACACTTCTAATGTGCTCCATGCCCAATTATCTTTTCTGTTCTGAAAGACATGACCCATACCCTCAAACTTCTTCTATTACCATCTTTCACCGCTCTTGCACGAGCCACTTTTTCAGAACGTAATTTTCACCTCCCCATGCCATTGAGATATCCTTTCCAGTCTTCCTTT